CGGCGGGCCGCAGGCCAAGCAGGGCGCCCTGGGCCAGCCGCGGCTTCTGCCTTCTCCTCAGGGCCGGAGGCGCGCTCCCCGAGGGAACTTCCAGCAGTGTCGAAATTCGTAACTGCACGTTTAGCCTGCTGCCTCCATTACTACTGGACACAGGTTTCCAGTGCTCATATTTTAAGTCAAAGAAGAGCCCGAGGGCCTCAGTAGGACCAAGGACCTCAACCCTGCGGTGATCAGTGTTGTGAAGACGGCACGGGCCACTTCTAGTCACGGGAAGGAAACGGGAGCAAAAAGCCTAAAGCTGTCCTCTGAACTAAAAGCTGGAAAGCAACCCTGAGCGATGTCATTTCCTCAGCTGAATAAAAGCACCGTTAAGCAGCAGAGCAGGGATGGGCCCGCACCTACCGGGCAGCAGGGATTGCTTTAAAACAGCAGCCCTGCTCAAATCCCTTCCTCCAACACTGCCTTCTCTTCATTTGCAAAGACTAAATCCTGTTTTGCCACGTGTAAAGAGAGCCAGTAGTTTTCTTCACAACAGCCCAGCGAGAAGAGTTTCCTACCTCAGGATTTAAAGAGCCTTTGTATGAATAAGGTGCGTGCCACTCCACTTTGAGTTTACTTTGTTTTCTGACATAGGGGTTGGAGCTCAGGGCCTGCTCCCAAGCAGGAAATGCTTCCAAGAACTACAGCGTAAAACAGGCCTGTTACTGTGGTACAGTTCTTGTTAGAACAACACATAAAAGTTTCAGGTTAATAACGTGATCTAAATGAAGTATGTCAGTCCTTACTTTTATTAGAAAGAGGAGCACAAGAAGTAAGGAAAGATGAGAGCATCAGGAATACACATTAAAACTGAAAATATCACAGACGAAAGTTTTACCAAACAGTTTTGAATGTAGAGGCAGCAGCCTTACAAATGCAACTGGTAGCATTTACACTACTGTTATATTGTTGCAAAGGGAAAGTTTACAAAGCCGAGTTAGAAAAAGTAATCAAACATTCATGACTAGAGTCAACAGCAGCAAGGAATTTTTTGCAAGTGGCCTTCCACCCTTTGCATTACTACTTATGCTTTCAGGAATTTACAGGAAGCTTGGTCTTCTTTTCAGTCCATCTAAAATAGCGGAATTATTAGATATCAGACTCTGCGTTCCAGAAATAAACAGAGCTGGCTTAGCTTCTGGTATCACCATCATCATAAATACAAACAAACAGAACAATCCTTTGAATTTTTTTGCTAAAGAATGTCCAAAAGATTTCAGGCATCCATACTCAAGTAACAAACTAGGAGTGTGCTGAAAGAATGCACAGCCAGAAGCGCTATGTCCCCAGTGCAAGAAAAACACACACACACACACACAAAATTTCTTTTAAAACGGTAGTACATGATCTGTTCCTTCATATGCTAGTTTCTCAAGATGATAGTACATATCTGATGGAAACTTGAGTGGCTTAATTACGCTTAAATACCAATCATTTCAGTTCTTGAGAAGAACATATGATGCTATTAAAAACAATTGGTATAATTTCTCCCTCCTAACATTTTAACTTACATTTTGGCCACTTTAGATTAATGTTTCCTAACTTCAAATTATGTTAACAGTTTTGTAGTTTTTATATATGCAACCATGTAAAATATTGTTTCATACCAACATTTTTTCCATTGAGTGAATTTTCAGAAAACTTTTCTGAAAAGAGATTGCATAATTACCAGCAGCATGTGCCATTAAAAAAAAAGGAAGCAGAAGCCACTAGTTCAGGTGACATACACATTCTGCTGCCAGTTGTGAGCAAGTCAGACAGTTTTTTGTCATTGTAATTACGACTGAAAACCTTTTTAAAGGAGTTTTTATTCTTGGTCTACAAGCAGAGAAAAGATGACAATATCTGTAATGTCACATGGCAACATCAGTGCAAGCTAAACCGTCCTGTTACCAGGATCACATTGAGTTTATCCATCGCCCTGCTTCCTAGCATGTCTGCCCTTTGGCATCTTTATCTGTGAAGGGGAGTTCATAATACTTGCATGCCTTATAAAGAAAAATCCAAACAACAGCATCTGTATAGCTGATTTATGGGGAACGTTCATGTAAAAAGACATACTAAGGCTATGCAATTTGAATTTTTCTGGGTTAGAACAAAAGTTTTTAAACATAATTTCTTGTTGGGGAGGGGAATTTATAATTTACAGCAACACTTCCCTAAAAATCAGATTATTATTTCGAAAATAAAACATCAAACATAGTTACATAAGTTTTTTTTTGTTTGTTTGTTTGTTTTACCTTGGGGAGTCAATTCCACTGTCTCCTGTAATGCTGTGTTTTTCTGCTCCTTCTAAGTGATTCTGTCCTGAAATCACAATACAAGCATTATTAAAAATTATGCTATTTTTCACCAAGGAGTTTCTCATTTCTTTGGCTTGTGGGCCCAAAACACAGCATGCCTTTTCTTCTCCTGCCTCATAGGTGGAGTTCTGCAAAGTGGCAGCGTCTGTGTCAGCCTCATTAGCATTGCAGGAATTTGTTGCAGCTGAAGTCTTCACACATGCAGTAAGGCCAGTTTCCTCTTCCTTTCTGTGAATTGTCAGAAGCACCTGACTGCAAAACCAACTTTCTTTAGTGAAATCTGTTTTCTGATGCTCTTTTGAGCCATCTATTGATTCAGCAAGACTAGCACATCCCTTATGTTCATGCTGTGCAGAGTCACATTTGTTTACAGTTATATTGTACTGGGCTGGATGAATATTAACCTTCCAGTTTTTTACGGACATAGCTGTCTCCACTTTTTGCACTTTATTCCAGTCCCTTGTATCTGGAAAAGCCTGGCTAGGATGCAAGTGACATGGTTCCCTGTGTTCAAAATTGTCATCCAGATATAATGAACTACAGGTGTTACCATCGTGTGCTTTTTGGTACACATGATGGTAGTCATGGGTAAATCCTTCACCTTCCAGTTTCATTGATCCAGGCCGGCTGGTACAGTCATATTTAAATATAAGTTCATTCTTGTTTTCAGTCTTTTGTCTGTATTTCGCACCAGTTTTTTTTAGCAGGCTAGCGTTGGTTGTATATTTTGAAAGGCTGATATTTTGAAATTCATTTGCTGTTTGATCTAATAATTTACCTGCAGAGTCAGCTTTGTACTTGCAATGCTCATCTTTCAGATTTAATGAATATTTTGCATCTTCTTTGCACAGATTATCTTCAGTGTGGGAGTGAGGGGATTTTTGAACATCCACAGGATTTTTTTTGGCTGTTCGTCTGCAGATGTCGTCTTCGGAAACATTACTGTTCGTCAAGTATTTACATTTGTCATCTATTTGCAAAGTACTGCCTTGCAGATAACTAACGTTTTCACTTAAACTGTCTTTTTTTAGTTGGAGGGAAGGCCTGTTAACATGGAGTGATTTGTTTGGCTTGGCTTTGTCAGCTTGCTTTTCAGCCACCAGTTGTTCAGCTTCATATTCAAAGGTTTTTGAGGAAGCAAAAGACCTTGGTCTACGTAAACGCCTTTCTTGCTTTTGAGTCCTGGACTTCAGCTGACCGTTAGTCTGACCTTTGTGCCCTTTCACATAAAAGTTGTGTCTCCAAGACAGACCCTGAAAAGGGTTCTTAATTTGTTTTTTGTATATGATTTGGGATTCCACAGATGTATCAAATGGCTGTTGGTTTGTAACAGGCGGTGACAGGTCCTCTTTCGGTTTTTCACTTTGGGATGTTAGCTCATGTGTTTGAGATTTCCTGTCGCTTCTGCTGTTTTGCTTCTCTTTGCTTGATTTGTTTTTCCTACCATGCTTTGCTGTATTACTTTGTGTCTTTTCAACACACTCCTTTGAAAGATGCTTTTGCCCAACTGTTAACGCTTCAGCAGAGGTACCTTTACTGATATATTTTTTCTGCTCCTCAAACTTCTGCATTAATACCGTGTGTTTAATTAAATTATCAACTGTAAGCATAGGGTTAATACGCTTGATGATTTCATGTTCAACATCACGTGGAATATTATCTAAGTCATCTTCGTCCCTGACTGGCCACTCCTTGGGAGGAAACTGGGCTGAAAAAGTGGAGTACCCTTTCTTACGTTTTTCTTCTTTAGAAGCACTTCGCCGGAAAAGGCCAAAGCCAAACCTTTTACTTTTCAGTTTTTCTTTCACTGATGTCAGGGATTTGATAGTGTCCCAGGAATGGGTTTCACCAGATGTGAACACCACTTGATTTTGAATTGAAGGCTTCAGTTCACTGCAGCCTTTCTTACCTCCTCCATTAGGTTCATGGTTCGTTAGCTGCCAATGTTCTTGTTCACAGAGCATATTCTTGTCGGGGAAACAATGGCAGGATCTGTAACGGGGTACTGTAGGAATGTTTGCTTTCATTAGATCTGCACAGTTCTCTATGCTTATAAGGTAAGTGATGGCAGGTGATGAACAGCAACTGTCCTCCAACTGGACCCTTTTATTGGCTTCGGTGGAGTCATGTGTGATGAAGTAGGTGCTGGGGGTCACGATGAAGTATCCTTCTCCCGTATGATAGATCTTCCTTTCTTTAATTAGAGTGCCAAGGGTATTATATACAATTTTGTGAGAGGGAACTGCAATGCCTGCAACAAAGATACAGATATTTAAAATCAGAAATAAGATTTCGGATATAATGGGAGATGGCCAAAAAAATAACTTACATAGAACTAGAAGCGATTCAGCCATGAAATAGCCAGCGAATTTAGTTTACAGGATGCAGCCAAAAGTTGAAACTGACATACCAAGAGAAGTTTTGAATAGGAAAAGCTCGATTGCTACCTGAAAGCATCTGACATCAAGGAAAAGCTTGATTGCTACCTGAAAGAGTCTGACATCACAGGACAAACTGCAGGATTTTTTGGATTTTTTTAATTCACCTTCTCTCTGCCGAGCTTCCAGAGCCAGCAACTGTGCCTACGCTCTGCTGTGCCCTACCCACACAGGCCCCACCACAGCCCTGGGGCTCCCTGCAGAACGGAGACAGCCACACTGTGCAGTGGCACCCACGTGCACGAAGGGTGGCCTAGAGCCAGCACCCACTGCAGCTCTGGGTCAGGGAGAGCCTTCCTGGGCCAGCCAGGTGAGGGCAGCATGGAAACACCATCCAGGGCCCTGGCAGCTGCCATCCAGCCAGTGCCTTACAGATGAGTAAAAACATTTGTTCCTTCCTCTAAGCCTTTCCTCACCGATGAGGTAAGGACACCCCTGGGGAAGAAGGCAAAGCCAGCTGCATTTTTGAATGTCCTCTTCTGAATAAAAAAGGATATTCTCTTTGCGTCTGTCAGGATATGATATTCACGAGAGAGACCTTCTGCAGCAAACAAGCCAACGTGTTGTTCAAAACCTTTCCCTCTGAGCAGGTTATTTAACAGTAGCTTTCATCACTCTCTCTGAAGCTTCTGGTATAGGTTTGTCAGATGACAATTGCAACCAAAGTTTACCTTGCTGAGACTCAGCTGCTGGTTTTCCCTCAGGTGTCACAGTCCCAGAGTCTTGTGACATCTGACCTGCTGCCCCAGGCTTATGCTGATCTGCCCATGAGAATGAAAACTTCCAGCAAGGTGAAAACATAGCAAGGAAACCACTATCTCCCTGCAGACTTTGAGAGTTACTTCTGGCTGAGGTAAAAATCCTACCTTGTGGTTGTATCAATGCACATATAGACTACGTCACATTGCTGGCAAGTTTCTGTGTAGCGTTTGTAGGGGTGTAAGTTTATTCAAAAAAAAAAAAATCAAAAGAGGAAGTTCAGCATCCAACCAATCAAACTGCTTCTGCAGAAGGCCAGAATGAGCTTTCACAGAGTCCCACACATATTTAAATATTCCAGATCTGGTGGAAATTGGACGTTTTTCAGATCGAAAGAAAAGTGCACCATTTATGGGAAATGGCTGCGACCTCATCAGAAGAGAAGGATTCAAGCTCATTTTGTGTAATTAACGTGCTTTTGGAGAGGCAGGGGGTGGAATTTGACCAACAAACCTGAATTTGTGGGCCAGTTGTATTTGTGATAGCAGACACCAGATGTAGACTCCTACCCGGTCTCTGTCTTGCTGTCTCTCCACGGAGGACTCAAAGTTTTAGTGAACTGACACATACTGTATTTTATGTTTTTCCATATCTGGTATTTAAGTGCCTCATCTGTGCTTTCCCATAGGAAAGGGCATATGCTTAACATGCTTCCATACTCAATTCCCTCTTATTCTCAAAGAAAATCTGCAAAAATTATTCTATTCGAAACAACATTGTTGATGCTGACAGATCAATGTATTCCCTCAGTTGCCAGTTAATTTATATTCTTCCGTATTGACAGCTTTGTTTCTAAGCATTCATTGATGACTTGACCAATATCAGAAATATGCGCATGATGATACGGTCACTTCTAAAAGGAGGGAGAAATGGATACAGTACCTGGATAATTTCTCACTAACTGCTCCGTTAAAGTTTCCTGTGTAACCATCACCTGGTCTGCATTCATGTCTGATATGGTGCAGCAAAGAACTTCAGCCAGGGGAACAAGCTGTGAGTGGGAGAGAGGATTCATGAGAATAGAGGGCACATCACCTAAAGCCTGGAAAGAGAAAGAAAAAAAAAAAAGGTTATTTGCGTGGAATAGTGTCTCATTTTTCTATTATATATCACAGATTTTCACGGGAGATGTCTTGTGTTGCCTCAAAACAAGCACCTTATCCTCAACTAATTTTCTTTGGCAATTTATTCAAATAGAAATACTTCTCAAAGAAGGAAAATGGTTCCAAACAGAGCAGTTTTGATGTTCTGACATTTGCAATTAAAGAAGCAGACAATTACCTTAGGCAATTCAGTTTGTTTGCTTTTAAATCGCAGCTTAACTCACCATTTAGCTTAATAAACAAAGAGCTGAGGGAGAAAATTATACTTGATGACTGCTGACTGTTTAAATGACTGTTTACATATGAAACAATGCAGAACCTGTATTTCTGTGAGTAGCGAATGAAAAAAGTCAACATCCAATATTCTAAGTACAAAATTTTCTCACAGAGTTCGAACACAGGAAGGAGGAGATCGGCAAGAGGCTTTGTCCTTTGTCTAGCACAAGGATTTGAATAGAAATGGGAAAAATTCTTATTCATAGACAGGGCTCTAGAACGTGAGATTCTCTAATAGACCGGGCAGAAGGCAAAGATGCCTCCTTCCGCTGACTTTTAACTGGTTATAATCATAATTTGTACTTCTGCACCACTGCACACATTTCTAGGCTATCCCCATCTCTCCTGGTGAGGGGCAGTAACATTGTCGCTGTTTCACATGAGGAAAGCAGAGACCCAGAGGGGCAAAGCGCGTGGTCCTGCTCCCCCAGTATCTCTGCAGCCCCAGCCCGTCCTCTGCCCAGTGGAGCATAGCGCACCTCCCACCAGCAGCTGAGCAGTCTTGCTCTCGTTTCCCTGCAGCTCACAAGGGCAGGACGTTGGAGACCTGGATCCAAAGACTGCATGTGCAATACGTATTTCCCTATTTACTTTTCTGTGGTTCATTCCCAGCACCCTCCGCACCCCCAGGACATGGTCCGCTACAGACGCTGAACTCCCACCCAGGGCCTCGGAGGAAGTGGGCAGACAGTCCTCTCAGGCTGCAGATCAGGGAGTCGGTGAGGAGGACAATGGTCTGAATGAGGCTTTAGTTCTTCACCTCACCTCCCTCATCTATAAAATACAGAAGATAAATACTGCCCTCTCACAAGATGGCAAGGCCAGTCAGAGCAACCTTGGCAAGTAATTCTCACACAGTACCAGTGGAAGAAGCAGGATAAACCTGAAATACATATATCCTCTGAATGCTGATGACAAAGGACAGAGCAGGGACTCACCTGAGGTCTGTGCATACAGTAAGGCTATGACTTTATTGAACTTCTCAGGCAAAAAGGCTTTTTTTTTTTTTAAATAGCTCAATGGTTTATTCCCACTGCCTGCCGAAGTTTTGTGCTCTTCGTCCCTGCTGTCTTGTGCAGAAAGCCCCTGGGTATCCTCAACTGCCAGAGCAGGCAGATGGCAAGTGGGATTCCCACCTGGTTACTTCACGAGGCAAAAAGTGGAGTCAAAATAACAGTACTTTTCCCGCATGGAAGAAGCAACATCTCAGATTAAGCGATATTCAGGTTTAACTAAACTGTAACTGGATAGTCTGTTGGGTGACTCCATGACCTAATACTCATCCTTTAGGCAGAAAACTACAATGCAAACATTTCTCTGAGTAAGTGAATTAAGAAACAGCACTTTAAAGAGCTTAAATTGCTCTTGACCTTTGTTTCACAACTGCAGTTACGGTCAACAGAAAGCACTCAGAAAAAAGTCCTGCATACTGTTTCCTCGGTGACGTTGCTAAGATACTCGTCACAGGTGCAGAAACCATTGCATACTTTCCCTTTATATGGGAAAAGACTATCTATCAGCATTCAGCAATAACTCTTGTGAATAGCTTTCTCTCTGAGGTCTCTGCTGTAGGCACACTGTGCTGCAGCCAGTTTTATCGTTCCTTCCTCACACAGCACCAAGCTGCAAAGGAGTAAAACACCAAAATGTATTAATTATCTTTATTATTATGCACTGTCTTGCCATCATTGTCCTTACCTGTCTCACAGCCTCAAACCCCATGTCACCTTTAAAGGAAGGCCCCGCCAGAATAATCTTTAATTTAGAAAAAGCCAGTTTAATACTGAAGGAAAAAATATTAAAATTTGCATACATCAAAAAAAAAAAAAGAGAGAGCCTATTTATAATGCTTTTCGTGGATCAATAGTGCCAGAGTACACAAATGCTCTACAACATGAAGGTTAAAGATCTTATTTCAAATTTTGAAGGGAATGATCTGAAATAGCGAAAGCAAAAATCAGACCATTGGAAACATTTATAAGCTGTCACGGGAAAATGCCCAGGCAACAGCCTACAGATATCCAACGTATTTCTTACTACAGATTGTTGATTTACTTTCCATAGGTAATGAACTACTGCAATCGCACTTCAGATGTTTTTCCATTTTTTTTTGTTTAGGAAATATATACAAGCTCCGTCTCTTAGATTTGCATAGAGAGTGACCTTAACAGCTTGTGCAAGTTATGTCTTACAAGCCAGATGCCACATCACCAAAACCGATGAAAAAGAGCGAGTCCCATCATGCTCAAGAGACCTGATCAATGTTTGTTCCTTAACAGCTCAGAAAAAGACTGTGCAGAACCCCCAGTCTCCTACTACACATAAACCTTCTGATGAGAACCATCTTCCTGTTTTTTTCATAGCGTTTACAAAGGACTTGCTTATGTGTAAGGTGCCTGTCATCAGTAAGTCAAGGAACTCAGGCTAATCCTCCTGATTGTTTAAACACAGCACAGTTCCCATTTCACGCTCCGTAGCTCTTAGAGAATCGTGATCGTGTTTACCCACTCCAGTCTAGGCAGTTTGCCAGTACTCATGTATTATTGACCTTCAGTTCGGTTTACCACTCTGTTCAAACTCTGCTCATTACCTGGATACCTGAAACCAAAGAATAACCTTTTGGAGCACGTATCAAATCACAATGTGGGAAAGTCATCTGTAATACAAGCATCAGATAAAAAAAAATGTCAGCAAACAGAAAAGCCTCCAAATATTCTTGACCAACACAAAGCGATTTTTTGTTCCATCTCTGTAACGTGAGCTTTACTGTTTTTCACTGGGAGCTTTAACAATTACAGGATTTTTACTTCTGGCTCTAAGAAAAACTATGTACAAGCAAGTTTTATCTGGGTAAAAAACGAGCTAATTCTGGGGAAGTCAACAGAGAGGCGCTTTGTTCACTAGAGCTCAATTTAAAGTTGGATTCATTCGTAAAATAACAATAATTCAATTCAAAATAACAATAATTCATTCATAAAATAACAATAAAGGGTTAACAGTAAGTAATTGCTTCCAAAAAGAAAGAAATGCAGATCAACAATAATCTCCATTGTATGGCTCTACTTACATCTGTTGTTTGAGACAGAATAGACACAACAACTGGAAAGAGAAGATCAACTTTTTTGTTTGGTAGCCAAAAGGATCTATGTGAGACTATTAAACTGAACATGCAGAAGACCCCACGGATCCCGTACCTGTTTGCATTAGACCCCTGGTATGCTGGATGCCCTTTGCTTTTTGCAGAAAGGCACTAGGAAAGCTATAAGCAAGGATAGCTCTGCTAGAAATGTAAAGCTTCTGCTTTTCTATAGACTGACGTTCATCATGGGCACATTTTATAATAAAAGACTAGGAGGAATTGTAAGGAAGAAAAGGGTTAAGAACAACATCGTAGAAAGCTGGGAACTGTAGCAAACATCACTTTTTGAACATTAATGCAGATTTTAGAAGAAATCCCTATTAAGGGGTAATTTATAGGCACAACACATGGTGTTGAGACCATAACAAACATTTTCAATGGTAAGTCTATAGTAGAAGAAAATCCATTTCGGCATAAACATTGTGTACTAGATCCTGTTCTGAGAAGCATCCTTTTACTGAAGCAAAGAGTAAATAGTTCAGTTTCGTTAAAAAACAGTCACATCTTGTAAATAAACGTATTTGTTGCTGAAACAAACAAAAGCCTTTGGGAATTGTAGACAGTATTTTTCTGTTATTTGATTATTTTGTACAACTCTCAAATAAAGAAACAATAGTTAAGTGGCAGTTAAGCTCACTGACACTTCATCAGTTAGTGCTAAAGAAGCTGCATGCCCATCAAAACATCAGATTTCCATAACTACTGATTTCTGTAAGAACAAGCACTCCCAAATCATGACAATTAGGCAAAAATTAGGCAAAAATGTCCTTCATTTAGACTCAGTCACTGTCTTTTAAAAACTGAGGATGATGCCATGCTACTTTTTTCATTCGTTTGTTTAACCTTTTTTGCTTTCCCAACAACACCTGAAAATCCGATCCCGATTGCAAGTGTTAGGAACTTTTAAAAATATAACCTTTAAAATGCTTTCTGAGGTTCCTAGCTAAGCGCCATGAAATCTTAACACCAACCTTAGGGCTTAACAGCAACCCAGAGCCATCTTTTGTTTCATCACCAATACTAAAACAGAAGTAGTCACTGTGAAAACAAAGTGGATTTCAATAAGAAAGGCAGGAGATAAAGGGTTTTGAAATCAACAGAGCTGTCTCTTGCAAATTTTGGATCAAGCCCGAGAGTAGGAACAACGAGTAGGAACAACTTACACAGCAGACACCAATGCGTTCAGCGTGGCACAACTTTTGTTAGACCAGGGACAGTGAGAAAGAGTTTTTGCTCTTGAAATTCAAATCTCTGACCTTCAGGGAGATCAGCCCCTTGAACACTTACCAAGGCCACTGGCATGTCCACTTAAACGCTCCAAGAACATCTTGAGAGCAAATTTCAAGCTCCTAAAATACTGACCGAACACAGGAACAGGCATGCAGCTTCAGATAGACTCTTTGAAGGAAAACTGAGCACTTCTGCTCACTTGAAGGTTGGCAGGTAAATCGTCCTGGGCTTGGAGATGCGTTCCACCCACAACAGCAGAAATAGCCAACAAGCAAAGGAGAATAAACACGGCTGCCCTGGGGCGCTCTCACTCTTCACAAGCATAAGTGGCAGCTGCCAGTGAAACAGAAC